AAGCCCTGATCCTGCCGGGTGAGTGTCGCTGTTCCGGTCGGTTATCGGCGCTTCCGGACTGGCTCGGGTTTGGGGAGCCTTTCCCACACCTGGGGAGCAGATCTGTGTGAGCACGGAGAGGCCGGTGTGTGTCACACCCTGTCCCATCGGTCACCTCCATGCCTGGTGCCAGCACAGGCCCCTTCCCTCAGCCCACGGGGTCCTTCCCGGTCGGAGTGGGGTTTGCTGTCGGCGTGGAAGCCGCTGTCTCCCAGTGAGCCACGCAAAGGGCTCTCCGTGCTGCCAGCCCGGGTGTTGTAGCCAGTGCAGCCGGTCCCAGGAGTGTGTTCCTCCCTGTGGATGGAAACATTCCTGTCTGTGTTCCTTGTCAGACGATGCCGTGCCTGAACCTGCCCTCCTGTCCCAGCTCCAGGGAGGGGAAGTGCCCTGCGGTGAGGATGAGGCGGCTTCCACAGAGATCCCAGAAGATCCAGATACAGGCAAGAGATGAGTTAAAGCTTCAATCCCGGGCTATGAGGGTCGTGTGGTGCTGTCATCAGGCAGAGGCGGGCACAAGGGATGGTCCTGGTTTGCTCAGAGGGAACTTCTTAGGGAAGTCACTGGTGAGCTGGGCTGGCTCTGTCATTCCCAGTAGTAATGGTTTTCATGGTGTTTTCCCCGCTGTGACTAACTCTTGGATGTTTTTTCTCAAGCCCCTTGTGTCAAGTTGTCACCTCTCCACTGTCAGGCACTGCACAGTGGGGACGGACACTCCAGACAGGAGGCTGATCCCTGCTTGGATGAAACAGTCTCAAGTTGTGCCAGGGGAGGTTTGGGTTGGAAACTGGGACAATTTCTGCCTGTCCAGCCCTGGCACAGCTGCCCAGGGCAGGGGTGCAGTCCCCATCCCTGGAGAGGTTTCAAAGCCCTGTGGATGTGGCACTTGGGGACATGGTCAGTGGTGGCCTTGGCAGTGCTGGGGGACAGTTGGACTCCATGGTCCAAGAGGTCTTTTCCCACCTCGTTGGTTCTGTTTTATGAGTTTGCCCTCACACTTGGCTCTCTGTTGGCAGTTTCCATCCTTGACCTTTGGGTGGTTTTATGCTTGAAATCATATTCACTTTGCTGTGAATGAGGGTGACAAGGCCACGTTCTGCCTGGGGTTGTTCTGATGTGGACCAGGACACGCTCCACTGGAGCCTCTGGATTTGCACTGCGGTAACTGAGGGGAATTTGCTCTGGTCTTGTCACCTCTGAGCACCCCTGTGGTGGCATCGCCACCTCTGTGGTGTTCCCAGTGCAACCGAGCCGGGAAACCCCTTGTTCGGTTTTCCAGCCACTTGGTTTGGAAGAATTGCCTCCCCATTCACACTTGGGTTTGTATTTCACGGTTGCCTTCATCTCCCACTTCTGGGAGCTTGGGATACGGGTGGTTTTTGTTCCTGGGGGATCAGCTTGCACCGTATCCCAAACCGTTAAGAATTCCCAGGGTTTGAGGCTTCCCAAACACGGGGATGACGTTGCTGCTCGAGCTGTTCTAAACCCACTGCTCGTTTTCCTCATCACTGATGGGGCTTTAGTCCCTTCCCGAATCGGGCCCTGTCCCTTCCTGCTCCCAAAGTGTCTTCCAAGGGGAGGGTGCAGCTGGCTGGCTCATCCCCTCAGAGCCAGCGATCCGAGTGCTGCCGAGGTCTTGGACCCCGTGGCTCCGGAGCAGGTCCATGTGGAGTGCTCTTATCCGTTATTTTCCCCAAATCAAAGCTGTGAGGACAGAGAGCGTCACCTTTTGTCACTTCTCAGTGTTGGGTGGCCGTGCCCTGACAGGCAGTTTGGGTCTGTCCAGTAAGTGGATAAACTAATCAGACCCCCAGTGGTTTCAGTGGGTTCTGGTTAATCTGTTTCTATGTTTTCTATATTTTCTATATTTTTTTTAAACTCAGCCTGTGAGCCTTCAGGGCAGGGAACTTGTTTCTATCTGTTTGTAAAGTGCAGATTCAGTTTGCAGCAGTAAAGACTTGATCTCTAATAAAAATAACATTCAACTTGTCAAGTTCTAAATGCTTCTTTTTTTGCTCTATTTTTACTTTTCGAATCATTTTATCTGCTGCTGGTTTGTAGGATCATAACTTATGGATAGAGAGGCAAAAATTGTCCTCAAATCAGAAAAAAAACCAGTGGGGTTTAATTAGTTTAAAATTTTTTTTAACACTGTGAGCAGGAGAACTATTTTCTGGGTCTTTATCTGAGACCAAACAGCCCTGAAGGGTAAAAATGTCTAAAATTATGGTATAAATAAACTCTCCAGATTCATGGTGTAGTAGAATATTGCAACTTAGACCAAAATGTAGAGTGTGGAGGGAAGGAAATTTGAAAATAAGCAGTATTAATACATGACAACACCAAAATAACCATGACTTCGTGATTATTTAGGTCACCCTGAGCTCTGCTTCCCAGGGAAAAGCTTATTCTCACTGGTTCTAGTGTAAAATTTGGGGTTTCAGTCAAAATACTCAATTGTGAAGAGCATTTTTAGCGTGTTGTTATCCAGGAATCCATGGGTTCTGCAGACAGGCAGATGATTTGAATGGATTTTATCCTTCACAGGTTAAGTCAGTCAGGAATTAACAGTTCATCTTGCACTCAGATTTCATGGAGAGGTCGAACCTTCTGACTCGATGGTGTCATGGCAGCATCTCACAGTGCAGCTGTTGGGTTCTTTCTGCGTTTCATCTCCATGTGGATTTACGTGTTGGTTATGGAAACCAACTTCCAGTCACAGTCCCCTTTGCCAGGTGTTACTCAGGAACGAATGAGTTTAGAACTGTCCCTAAAATTTTGGCTGATTTGCTGCTTTAGTTCAGGAAAAAGGGAAATTATACTCTGTGGTTTTTGTTCCAGTTAGAACTTGATTCATTTTATGGCTTTTTTTTTTTAAATGTTCTTAGTCCCTAAATTGCAGGGTAACGTAGAGGCAAAGGCTTTATGCTGCCAGAGGGCAGGTTAGATGGGATATTGGGAAGGAATTCCTGGCTGGGAGGGTGGGCAGGCCCTGGCACAGGGTGCCCAGAGAAGCTGTGGCTGCCCCTGGATCCCTGGAAGTGTCCAAGGCCAGGTTGGAGCAACCTGGGATAGTGAAAGGTGTTGCTGCCCATGGAACTGGATGATCTTTAAGATCCCTTCCTACCCAAACCATTCTGGAATTTCATAAGAGCAGAACATTTTCTGGGATAAAGATGCAAGATTGCAGCTGCATAAAGCGGTGGAGGGACACTTGCAATTCCCTTGTGACAGAACATCCTGAATCTAGTCAGGATCACTCCAGCAGCACTCCTGGATTGTTCTACAAACAACCAGAGGTGCCTTTTCTGGGCTGTTTCTTTATTTTGTGTTTCATCACTCCTTGAAGCTGCCTTTCATACCCCAGGTGACACACAGTGAGTCACCATTTCCCTATTCCAGCCCATCTCTCCTGAATTTCAGAGACAATCTTGGAGCTATTCTGAGATTTGTGTTGTTTGAGTTGCAAAATTGAACCCTGATTTCAAGACAAAATGTGAAGTGGCACAGAAATGTGCTGCTTTTCCAAGACTGAGGAAGAGGAGAAATGGTCCCTGTGTGCAGGTAGAGAGATGCTGACAGGAATCACAGAATCAGGGACTTGTTGAGGTTTGAAAAGGCCTTTCAAATCCAACTGTCCCCCCAGCACTGCCAAGGCCACCACTGACCCGTGTCCCCAAGTGCCACATCCACCCACCCAGCTTTTAAATCCCTCCTTGGCAAATTGATGGAGCAGGGCTGAGGACATTCCAAATCCGCAGGGCTCTGAGGGGATCCCAAGTCCCCACAGCTCTGAGAGGAGCCCAATCCCTCACACCTCTGAGGGGATCCCGATTCCCCAAGGCTATGAGGACCCTGTGTTCCCATGGCTTGAGGGAACCCTGCACCCTCATGGCTCTGCGGGGATCCTGTTCCCTCATGGCTCTGAGAGGACCCTGATCGCTCATTGCTCGAGGATCCTGTGCTGTCACAGCTCTGTGGGGAACTCATCCCTCAGGGCACTCAGGGAAAGCCGGCTTTGAGGGGATCCCCGAGCCCCTCATGGCTTTTAGTGGAGCCCAGACCCCAACTGTTACGAGAGGATTCCAGGTCCCTCATGGCTCTGAGAGGATTCCAGGTCCCTCATGGCTCTGAGAGGATTCCAGGTTCCTCATGGCTCTGAGAGGATTCCAGGTCCCTCATGGCTCTGAGGGGACCCCGATCCCTCACAGCTCTGAGCGGCCCCTGATCCCTGGCAGCTCTTAGTGGGCCCAAATCTCTCACAGCCCTGAGGGGACCGATCCCTCGCAGCTGGGAGAGGATCTCAGCTCCCTCACAGCCCCGAGGGGACCGATCCCTGCCATTCCCGGTGCCCCCCGACCCCGCGCCCTCCCGCCGTGGGGCGCCGCGGGCCGGGCCGGCAGGGGGCGCTGCGGGGCGGCGCCGGTGCCCGGTGCCCGGTGTCGGTTCCCAGTGCCCGGTGCCGGTTCCCAGTGCCCGGTGCCGGTTCCCAGTGCCCGGTGTCCGTGTCCGTTCCCAGTGTCGGTGCCCGGTGCCGCCGGTCCGGGCCCGGCCGCAGCGTGCATGGCCGGTCCCCGCGCGGGGCGCTCCGTGGCGGCGCGGCTGCTGCGGCTGGAGGCCCGCCTGGCTCGGGCGGAGCGGCGGCTCCGGGCCGCGCTGGCCCTGGGCGGGCGGCTGCGGGCGCTGGAGCGGCGGCTGCAGCCCGGGCCGGCGAGGCCGCGGGCCCCGCGGGTGCCGGAGGAGAAGGTGTGGGTGCAGCTCGGGCAGCGGCAGTGGCGGGCGCTCCGCCGGGCCGTGCTCCGCGGGCACAGACACGTGCGGCCGGGGCGCGGTAAGGACGGCCCGGGGGGACCGGGGAGGTGTGTGTGGGGGGGATAGAGGGGACCCCGCGGTGCCCCGGCCGACCCCCTCACCCGCTCCCCCCGCAGGCCCGGACGGTGCCGGACACAACGCCCACCCCCCGGAGGACGGCGGGGACCGGGACGGGCATGGGGATCCCGCGGAGAACGGCAGCGGTGAGCGGGGACGGGGAGAGGGAGAGAGGGACGTGGGGGACCCGCCGGGTTTGGGGGATGTCCGCGGTTTGAGTGGGGTTTTTTTGCCTGGAGAAAAGGAGGCTCAGCGGGGACCTGGAGCTCTCCACAACTCCTTGACAGGAGGAGGGAGCCGGGGGGGGGTCGGGCTCTGCTCCCAGGGAACAGGGACAGGAGGAGAGGGAACGGCCTCAGGCTGTGCCAGGGGAGGGGCAGGTGGGATACTGGGACAATTCCTTCCTGGAAGGGGCTGCCCAGCCCTGGCACAGGCTGCCCTCCCCGTCCCTGCAGGGATTCAAAGCCATGTGGATGTGGCACTTGGGGACATGGGTTAGTGGTGGCCTTGGCAGTGCTGGGGGAGTGGTTGGACTTGATAATCTCCAAGGCCTTTTCCAACCTCAACAATTCCATGATTCAATGACCAGCCTGTCTCCAAGGCACTCGCTGTGCTGTGATCCTCCAAACGCAGCTGTCAGGCATCCCCCCCGCCTTCCCAGGAGGCTCCATCATTCCCTTCTTTTCCCCTCTCCTGGTTGCTGAGCTGCACTCCCTCAGTCCCCTTGGACTGGGCCCGGGCTGGGTCTGCACCACCAGGCAAAGCAGGATGGATTTTGGTTTTCCAGTCTGGCGAGAGGATTTTTCATTCCAGTGTGCACAAATATGCACAATGTAGTTGGTTTTAAACACGTGTGAAGTGTTCCCCCGAGTCACTGATCAGGTTATGGAAGTGTCCAAGGCCAGGATGGACACGGCTCAGAGCAACCTGGGCTAGTGGAAGGTGTCCCTGCCCATGGCAGTGGGTGGAATTAGATGAGCTTTAAAGTCCCTTCCAACCCAAACCATTCTAGGATTCTGTAAAGGTGCAGAGCACGGGCCCTTCTGCTTTCCCTTAATAATTCTACAGACTTTAGTTTTCTTTTTCCCATAAGTTTCATGAGTTACTCTTTAAGAACGCTCTTCTCACGAGTGTTTCTGTGATGGGTTTCACT